TTCATCTCCGATTCAGTGGCGCTGGGACTCCGCGATTCAGGATGTCCTCAAGAGTGCAGTCAAACGGTTCGATTCGTATGTGAATCCGCACAGGAAAGACGCCGGGAACAGAGATGATGAAAACGGCGGCGTTTCTCACGCGAGGAAGAGTGAGAATGAGAATGATGAGGATGAATGGGATTGGGATCGGTGGAAGAAGCATTTCGAACAGGTTGATGAGCAAGAACGCCTCCTCTCTGTTTTAAAGGTATGTGAAGCGTAAAAATTGCAGGATGTAGACTCGCTGCTGTTAGCTCTAAAATGCTGAATTACTGAGAATTCGGCTGCAGATGATTGTAGAATCGTATTAGTTTTACTGACAGTTTTCCAATGTGCAAATATTTCTTTCTCAACAGTCGCAATTGAGTCAGGCTGTTTATAGAGAGGATTTTGAAGATGCTGCTATGCTGAAGGTGGCAATTGCAGCTGGGGCTACAAATGATGCTGTTGGGATGGTGATGTCGGAATTGAATGTAGGATGTTTTGTTCTGTCTCTGCTGCTAATGTTTCTCATAGCTATAATGTTGTAATAAGTTTGATTGACCTCATTGTTTGCTCGCTTCAGAAAGCGATTCAGGAAGAGCGTTTCCAGGATGCAGCATTTCTTCGAGATAATGCTGGTGCTGGATTGGTAAGTTAACTGGTTGACTTAAATGGTTGGATCAGTGGTAGCATGACAAGCTGCCTAGGAATTGTCTATGTGTCGTATAAGGAGCATTTGGATAGGGTTAGAGCAACCTTGAAAAGAATGAAAGAGAATTAGGGTCCAGTTGCTGAATCTCTATAAAGTATTGGAATCATCAAGATCAATGCTATTATAATTCCAAGAATTCCTGGCAGCCTTTGAGCCTTAAAGGACAATACTTTTTGAGTTGTTTTACATATTTTATTGTGTAAGATTTTGATGGTATTATTTATAACTGCTTGGAATAAGGACTATGTAATGGACATGACTTACAGATGATTGTAATTTACTCATCAGAGAAGGGAATGATCTTCAGTTATCAAATAACAGGATCTGATATTTCTAATATGTCAACAAAGAAGTAATATAGGCAAATATGTTCCTTGTACATGGTTTAGGGGAAAATATAATTTTTAATATTTGATAAATTAAATGAAGAAACTTTTTTGTATAATGAAACAGGGTAGTGCTAATTTGGGAATAACTTTTCTTTATATGTTTCTGGAGTGAAGTGGTTTTTTCTAAACTGTGCACTTTCTGGTTTTTGCTTTCAGGTTGGATGGTGGACTGGTGTCTCAAAGGATGTTAAGGATCCTTATGGTCTAATTATACGTATAACTGCAGAGCATGGAAGATATGTAGCAAGGAGGTATAGTCCAAGGTGAGATTCCTTACTTTATGTTTGTCTGTTCATATGAAACATATTTGTAATACATGGAATTATGTGAATATATTATGTTTTATTATTGGTGTAAGCTCTCTTGTTTTGGTCAACTTTTTTCTGTTGTTGACTATTACATGGATGTTTGCTAACTTATTGACTGCATTTGCTTTCAATGTTCCTTGGGCATGTTAGAATCATAAACAAGAAGGATGGACTTTTAGAGTTGGGAATGCTTAGATCCATTTTATTTCCTGATGAAGTGGTGTTCTGTTCCAGGATCCAAGTAATATGGCAATTATATTCATTGTCCTGTTAGACATGCCATATAAATCTGTTTCCATTATACTGTTTAAGAGGTGATGGAAAGATCTCAGAAAGGAATGATCCACTGAAATCAGGTGTATTAGTATCCCCTATTGTGAAATCTATGTTGAAATCTTTTCCTCAGTTGGTCATGACTAAAGAATATTTATTTTTAGGCATGTATTGGTTCCATAGAAGTTAGAAATCTGGGCAGTCATTCCATTCTCCATCCTTTTTATTTCTGTTGGTGGATAGCAGTGATGGGTTTATTTGGGTAGTGGTAATCAATGCTTGGACAACATTGCTGTTGGTCTATGGCTGGCAACAATTCCAGAACATGTAGTGGTCCTAATTTATACAAACTGGACAGTAAGACATGCAAAGATAGATGGTGAGATGCTGAGAGCCTAGGTCTCTCAATATGTGTTGGTTAGACTTCGTTTGAATTGTAATATTTGATTCAATCTGTGTCCTGGCTCTCTTGAAGAGCTGAGAACCTGGTTGTACATATAGAGCTTGTGCATGAAACCAAAATTATAAGGACAAGCTTCTCAAGAATGAAGTAGATTTTGATTTTGGTTTTGAGAAATACTGTCTGTATAACAGCAAGCTGCATGGTGCTTATTAAATTGTATGAACTCTAGCAAGCAAGACTGTAATAATTTAAACACACTATGTGTCGGGTACTGTTTTGTTTTGACTGAAGGGTAACTATCAAGGCATAATAATCTTCTTTACATTTGAAATATACCATTCTTAGTGCTACTTGTGCTTATTATTCCATATTTGTAATATTTTTTATTTCTACATTCTTTGTTGACTGATCTTTTTCCTTCAGGCAGCTTGCCATGACCGCAGCAGGGGTTCCCCTGTTTGAGATATTTCTTACCGTGAATAAGAAAGGTGAATACAAACAGCAGGTATCTTTTGTTCTATTCTCTATCTTGTTTTAGTTTCTTTTTGCTTAGATTGAGCTTTTATCCCCTTATCTTGATTGGAGCCTGTTTAATTATATAATTTCATAAAATAAGCATAGCCCTCAGTATTTTCTTTATGTTCATCCTTTAAATAATTTTGGTTCTGTTTAGTT